AAAAAAAAAAAAAAAAAAACAAATGAAATTGAAAATTGTAAGTAAACATTATTTTTTTACTTTACATATTATTCACCAAAATAATAGTTAAATTATATATTTTGAAATTCTCTTAGTAATTTTTTTTTAAAAAAAAAAATTGTTAAAATTTTGCATAAATATACTTATATTGAATGATTTTACTCATTTTAGTTAATTATTATCCATACTTAATATTTTTTAAATAAATATGTAATATATCGATTATAAAAGATAATATTATGGTTCACGTAACTATGTCAAAAAATAAAGTTAGTTGGGCCTTATATCAGGATTATTAAATAAAAAATTGAGTTTTAAATTAAAAAAAAAACTAAAATGTAAACCTCATATGGAGAAAGAATAAAACTGAGGTTGTAAAAATAAAACTGAGGTTGTAGATTGGGAAAATGTTATGGTCCCGTTACGGAATAATTCTGTCGATATTTGTTACCGTTGGATCAATTATCTCTGACAGTTACATGATGATCTAATGGTTACAAACTCCGATGGAATAGTTTCGTAACGAAACCTTAGCATTTCCCTGTAAATTGATATAATTCCAGAAACTAAGATCGTGTAATGAAATTTCACCCAAAAGCAATTAAGTAAAAACAACTTTTATTACTTAGAGTAAAAGAAAAAAAGAAAAAAAAAATCCAAAAATTATGATAATGTTGTCTTGCACACTCACACACACACGCACTAACTTGCACTATATACACCAAACCTCTCATCTCTTTCATATCTATTAGGATTGAGCATGGGACTCGGAGAAGAACCGAAAAATAACCGTTGACCGTTTGATTTTCTCCGAACCGAACCGAACTGAAAAAGTAATTGGTACGGTTCTGGAGATTTCACAAATATCCGTACCGAGAACCGAACTAAACCGTCTCGTACTGTACCGAACCAAAGAACCGAAGTTAAGAACCGAATTATAACATTAGATGTGTTATTATATTTTATGTCAATTTTGATTCTATATAATATAGTAATAAATATTAACCTTCACTTAAATTTCATGCTTAGTAATACTTAGATCTACAATTGGATTTTTCTATTATAAAATAATTATTTAAAATAATATGAATGTTTAAAGAATATTTTTTAAGAAAAAAAATATTATATTTTATTTGAATTTTAAATTTTCAATATTAGTTGCACAAATTTAGTTATAACTAAAATTTAGAGTTACTTATAAAGTTGATTTCAAAATAAAATCTTTAATGTGAGGAAGTACTGATGAATGTTGTTTTATTAAAGCATATAAAAATTAAATAACTAAAATTTAGAGTTACTTCTAGAATTGATTTCAAAATAAAATCTTCAATATGATGAATTCTTGATTAATGTTGTTTTTTTAAATCATATAAAAATTAAAATATAACTAGGTAGTCATTCAAAAATAATTTAAAAAATAAAAAATCTCCAAAAATCTGAACCAAACCATACCAAACCGAACCGTTCCAATAGTCCCATATATCGAACCGAACCGAACCGAAAAATAAAAATCTCCGAACCGAACCGAACCGACTTTTTGGTACGGTTCCAGAGATTGAATTTTGGGATCTCCGAAGTTTGGTACGGTTCTGAAGATTTATCAATCTCCGAACCGTACCGACCCACGCTCACCCTTAATATGTATATACTTGTCCTAGCTAGTTTCCTAACAATAATAATATCAATACAAAATAAAATAATAATAATAACAATAATAATAATAATAATAATAATAATAATAATAATAATAATAATAATAATAATAATAAAAGATAAAAAAATATTGATGTAAAAATGATATAAAACTGATGTAACACGCTGGAAATATGTAAAAATGATATAAAATTGATGTAACACCGTAACACGCGGAAAATATGTAAAAATGGTATAAAAATTATGTAATAGACATGAGGTGTATATATATTGAAAACTAGTAACATAATGATGCATAAATTATAAATATGTTCGATTGAAAAAAAGTTTTTTTTTTCATATATAAGTGTATAGAATGATTAATTGATAAGATAATATTAAATTAAAAGGAAAGTTGTAGTACAAGATCCAACTTTTAAAATTGTATTAGTTTTAGTTATGCAT